ATTGCTCAAAATGATACTATTCTGAGGTAGGGGGAAAATCTTGAAGTATAGTTCAATTTTCCTTTACTCACTGTATAATCATATAAAAATAAATTTAAATCAGAACAGTCCAGCAGTTATCTACTTCTTCTATCTCATGTTAGTTTTCCTTTACTAGAAAATTCTTCATTGTGAAATTTGTGGTGAATTTTGATCTTTTCTAAAGTCCATAGACTTCCATAGGCAAAGTTGTACAGTAGGTAGTATGGTTTTTTAATTATTTTGGTCTGTGATTCCAGTGTTACTCATCTGCCTTTCCTGGAAGAGTATCCCGTCTTGAGGCTCATTCCTGCTGATTCTTATGCTACTAAGATAAATAATTATATATTTTCCCTGTATTATCTTTATTATTTTTTTAAGTTTTCTTACATTGTTGTTCATTTTTTACTTTACTTGATTTTTCCTCATAGAGGTAGCCTCTGTAAATATCCTACCACCCTATCTCTTGTAAACCAACATCATGCTCTTTTTTCCTCTTCCCACACATTTTGATGGCTCACTCTCCCTCTCCCCTGCTATAATTCTCAGATCTATAGTTGCCTACAAGTTTTTTTTTCTTTTTAATTTACCCTTTACTCAGTTTTCCTATATTCCTTCTATAAGTTATATCATGCAATATTTTTATTTTCCTTTCTGATTTTTCACCTAGTATAATCCCTTCCAGCTCCATCTATATTGGATCCATTTATCTTTTTTGATTGCTGAGTAGTATTCCACTGTGTATTATATCTATTATATCACATCTTGATTCAGTCATAAGATAGAAGGTTATTTGACAGTGGCTATGTTGTTGACTATTTCATGCAGAAAGTGACATCCCCTCCATAAATAGGTTCTACCAACTTCCAAAACCAATTCATGTTTTAAGTTAGGTTTTCTTACCTGGTAATATAATGGCATAGCAACAGCAATGGCAATGCTTTGAAGATGTTACTTTTTCCTGAATTAGGTTTTTCAGGGTCATGATTTATATTTGTACAATAAGTATTAGTGGTAAATAGTAAACATACTTTTTATAATTGTTAGTGTTTAAAAAACTCTAAGTGATTTCATAATCATGCCTGCCAAATTTGATACATGGAGTGAGATAACCATAAAATATGAATATTTACTTTGTCCACAAATGGCCATAATTTTAAGATTTCTCAAGATTATCAAGTGAATAAATATAGAAAACAACCAATCCTACAAACTTTCCCATCATAAGCTATTTATGAAAAAAATAGTTAGTTTATGATAACTGCATCTGTAATCTAATTTCTAAAATAGTTAACCACATAATTCATGGTATTATTGGACATATCATTTCTTATAATCAGATTGTCACTTTAATAGTTTTAATGACAAACTTCTTAATATCATCAATTATTGGCTGCCAGATAACAAATGTTAAATGCTTAGGGCCCAGTTGATGATATCTTGCCCACTGAAATGTTTTTAAAAATACTAACTTTATTTGACTTGAGAGATAGCTGCATTTTTTTTTTTTTTTTTGGTAGGAGCTAGGAAATTGTGTCTAAATATTACTTTGCGTCAGTATAAAGTTTTAATAGCCTCCTGGGGACTAGAAAGGGGAGAAATGACTTCCTCTTCCAGACATCTGGTGGTAGATACCATCAACAACTGTTATGTATGTCAATAAAAATTACTGTTCCATAGAAAAAAACCCTGTCATTTACTGATTGGAGATTAGCCATGACATTAATAGGACACAGAGCAATACATTTCTAAAACTTTTTCCTCCTTTATTTTTTCCATTCTCAGCAATTTTTTTTTCATAGTAATACACATCACTTTCTTCATTGGGTTCTTCATAATTGAGAAAAATACATGTTCTATTCTATTCCATTTATCCCAATTCTTGGTTTTATAATTGCCAAACCAGTTTTAAAATAAATTTCAAAGCATATTACTTTTGTACAATGCTTGGTGTTTCAGGAGAAATATCATATGATTCAGCCCAGCTAGCCCAAAAAAGTTGGGGTTTTAGCCAGTACTCTAGATAAACTCATTTTAATCCTATACCTTAACCCACCACATAGGCCAACACTAATGTTGGCCACAGAATCACTAAGCTACCCCCAAATGGCAGATGTCTAAGTCACTTCCATCTATACTGATGGAGTAGCATATTCTTTCCTGCTGAGGTCAAGTGCTATGGAGCAAATTCTTATGAAGATGAAAGGAAGGATTCAGCAATGGCTTTTATGTTGCTTTAGCGGTTGCCTATACTTCAGCTACCAGAAGTGGTGTGTGTGTGTGTGTGTGAGTGAGTGTGTGTGCGTGTGAGAGAGAGAGATGTTAATAGTTGCCCTGATTTCCATCTTCCTTTTCTTCCTATACCCACTCCAATTTAATCCTCTTTTTATTTGACACTAGAAGCCAAAGGTGGGTGTAGCTTATAAGAGAGGTTCTTGGGTAACCCCTATTCTTTTTCCTATTATCTTTAAGAATGTCATTATTTAGTCATCAAGCCCATAAGATATTTCTTGTTTCCTGATGGTTTTCCCAAATCGAAACAGTTTGAGGTAAAGTAATCACAGTGATCTTTCTTCAAAAGGAGCTATTAGCAGTTACTAAAGCAAGACACATTTCTCAACAGCCAATTGCTCTTAAAAAACTTGAAGGGTTTGTAGTTTATATGTGCTAGAGATAAAAGCTGAGAATAATAATTGTCGTGAGAAAGCTCTTTTCCATATTAAAGGAAAAGTATTTCTATAAGATATATTGCCACAGGAACCAAGTATGTCAGCAGGGTGGACTCTCAAATGATTTAAAACCACTAGATAATGAAACTTTACTCAAATATTAAATGTATATAAATAAAACATTTATAATCATCACTCTTACACTTAACGTTCTTCAATAAATATATGCAATCATGACCTTTACCCTTGCTTGTAACTGCTAATCAGCTTGAAGGCCAGGGGTCATTTTTCACTCAGACAATTTATTCCATAGTGACTAGACTATCAAAATGATTTTCAGCAAGGGGCAATTAGAAGGAATACATGCAAATAAAACAGTATCATAAAATATTTCTGGATTGATTTTTAATAAATAAAATACAAAGTGATATGAAAATGCTAATGTCCTGACGAGAGGGAGATAATGACCTGATTCTGCAGGGACAGACCCTCTCCAACCTCTCTGAGCAGCAGCATCATTCCATATCTCTGCCCTGTGATCAGTATGTGTCAAAATCTTTCATAGTGACAAATGTGCTGTCCACTTGCATCTGTGGAGAATGTTTTAGCAGCTGAGTGATTATGAATCAAACCCCTGAGCTTATAGCCCCTACCGCCTCCCAATGCGTTCACATTTGTCGGCTGACAAGTAAATGTATCTTGACTTTCCTCTGAGAATTTTTTGCACATTGTTTGATGAAAGACATTTGGCAAATTGGCAGTGGTACCCTGTACATTGCAATTTGTAGCTAGCATTAGGAGTCTGGGCATGAAATGAGAGGGCAGGCTCTGGGATAAAGGGAAAAGAAAGAGCTAACTACAACATGAATAGTCATTTGAAGAATCAAGCATACAATATTCCCTTTGTAAGGAGAGGCTCATGTTCAGGCCATTCCATTAAGATTTTGCTCCAGTTTAAGAAGTCAGTGGTATTGTGTCCAGCAGCTGGTCTGTGAAATATTTACTTTTCTTTTGGGGTAGGAGGTATTGCCTTTTATTTTTAGCCTGAACTCATAAATTGGCCTCCCTCTCAGTCCTGCCATCTCATCAACAAAAGACTCATCCTTATTGGCTGAACAGTTTTCGTGTTGGGTTGTTACCATTTTTAATCCCTGCGTGGAGTCTTCTGGTCTACCACCCCAGCTCTTTGTGAAACATTTTGAGTGCAGACAGCGTGTAAACACCCTTTCAACAGCTTTATCAGTTCTCTGAGAACCAGATACATAGTGGGTGAGTTGATTTAATAGGATGGCCTGATAATCTCCATTTCCATTTAAAAATTCAGTAGTAAGCAGCTTCCAAGTAAAATGTGGACAATGAGTAAGGGATGTTTCTGGAAGATCCAAGGAAAGAGGACTACCACTATCTATGCATGATAAGGACCAAACTAACTTAAAATTAAAGACTATTCCCTCATTGTAATTTTGGAAATATGTATGCCAGAGGGCAACAATTTGAAGATTTTTAACAAAATTAAATAGGGTGTTAGAGATCAGAAATTAGACAAGATAATTTTTTTTCCCAAGAATATTTAAGACAGTGGTTAATACTAATTGTACCCTTATTTTATGATATCCTTGTCAAGTTATGTCATATTCTTTATAGTAACATGTCATGGTCATTGCAAGTCAAGTTATGTTTAGAACAAATGACTATTTCATTAAAATTTGTATATGATTCTTTGTAAAAGCTTGTATGTATTTAACATTGTATCAGGAAAAAAACCTCCTCACACATTTGGTTTTTTCTTTATGCATTGCAAACATTTAACTTGAGCTGTAACTATGGAGAACTTGGTATTTTTCATGCTGAGAGTTTTTTTTTTTTTCATGAGACTCTATGCATCCTATGGTTTTAATTACCTAACTAATGCATTTAATGCATTTCCTGTAATTTTCAGTTCTCTGTTGATGCCCATGACATAATATAAAGTCTGTCACTTGATTTTATAAAAATCTTTATTATTTCATGCATTTCATTGCTCATTTGTGTACCAGATAACACATTACACAGGTAGACATTCAAAAATGGTCTTACAAAGGTCTTGTGAAAAAGTACACTCAGCATTTTATAATTGTAATTCTACCTTTATTTCCAGAATTGATGAGGTCTTTGTTGTTGGTTTAATATGGGGACACTATAGCTTCTTTCTACAGTTCTTGTGTTCAACAGATTTGACACTTCCATTTTATTAGTGATGTTCTTGGTCTGATAGATATTATGATGTAACAAGAGATATCAGACATTTCACATTTTTATGTGTTTACCTTTCAGATGTCAGCTATTGAAAATATGGCAGAGAAGCTCGAAAGCTTCAGTGCTCTGAAACCTGAGGCCAGTGAACTTCTACAGTCAGTTCCTTCCATGTTTAACTTCAGAGCACCTCCCAACGCCCTGCCAGAGAACCTCCTGCGGAAAGGAAAAGAACGCTATACCTGCAGGTAACTGCACACTTAATTAAGCCTGCTTTCCCAAAATCTCCCCTCTGATTTCAAAAGAGCCTGCTGTTTGTTTTGGAAATTATTCTTGATTAGATGATTAATAACATACATGATAGATCTCAAGCACTTCAAAGTGCTTGTTATTTAGTGAAATATAAAAAATAGTGGTTTTAAAAAATTATTATTAAATGAGAATTTTAACACAGGCCATTTGGTTGTGATAAATGAGGTTGGAAACTGTCCAAGTACTATCTACTTGTTTTGCTTTGATATTTATGAATTTTCTTTCATAGTTAATTATTTGCATGCAAAGGTATACTACTGTCCTCAAGCATACATTTATTAATTGTCATGGCATTGAAAAATAAGACCATTAATGAAGGATGAATAAGGTTGATAAGTGAAGAAAATAGTTAGAGTCTTGTAACTCATCAGTAGTATAGTAAAGCCTGATTTTTGTTTCTGTTTTTTCTTTTTAATAAATTGTGCTTATAAGTTCTGAAGTGTCTTCAGAAATTTGTGGCATCTGACACAAGCATATCAATTTATCTGCTCTTTTGAAAATGTGTCACTTTCTTTCCAGAAAAGCTTTTATAAGAACATACCTTGATGGATGAGGTCTCAGAATCTTGTCTGATCTGATCCCGCTCAATGTACAAAGAGTTGACACTATGGCTAACATGTAAAATGAGCTGAAACATTTGAAATATGTTTACTTCAACCCAGAATCACAGCCTCTTGTCATTTTTTTTAGCCCTTGTCTGGTTCAGTTTTGTGAATATAAAGATACAGAGTTAATAAAAGAGGCAAATGGTGGGGGTGGGGGAAGGGAGTGTCATCAAAATGAAAGTCTATTTTCATAAGCTGCTTGCTTATGCATGAGAAAATTTAACCAGATCTCATAACACACTCTTTATTTGTAGAGTTATTTATATCTGTAGAATGACTTTGTGGTAAATTTTAAATACCAAAGACATGTGAGTTCCATGCAAGATTAATTAAGTCAGGAATAAGCATCTGGCTTCTATGCAGCTGGAGTGAAATAAAGTCGATTGTGCTGACTTTCTCTTATAAACATCTTCTCATAACAGATACTGTGGCAAGATTTTTCCAAGGTCTGCAAACCTAACACGGCACTTGAGAACCCATACAGGAGAGCAGCCTTACAGGTGTGATGATGACTTTTGCTAAATATTTTGATATATACTGTAAAAATTAAAATAGACCCATGAGAAGAATTTTAAGATGCTACTTGTTTTTATGTCTTAATATGTCTATTTAATTTTGTGTCAAAGAACAATGACTAATACAAAAAAAAATTAGGAGATACCTAATTAGTTAATCAAGACTTTTTATATTTCAGTATTAAGCTGACAATGCCTAGTGCAGGGTATGCATTAAAAAATAGCTATTTGGGCCCTCCCTGGTGGCACAGTGGGTTAAAACACAGCACAAAGAAGCTTAAGCCACTTCCGCATGAGTTTGATCCCTGCCTGCCCCAGAGGAGATCCACATGGCGTGGCAGACCTCTCCTGACCCGCCCGCTGCTCCTTTCAGCAGTGTACTTTGTATATCTGCCTATTCTGCTCCCCACTCTGTCTCTGTTGAATCCTCTCACTCTCCGCATCTCTGGCCTGTACCCCAGATCTGTACAAATAAATAAATAAATCTTAAAAAAAATAGCTATTTAAAATTTTTCTTAAAATTACTTCAGTGTTTTAAATAATTAGTGCAGTTTTTTTTAAAGATTTATTTATTTATTCATACAGAACTGGGGTACAGGCCAGAGATGTGGAGGGTGAGAGGATTCACCAGAGAAAGCGTGGGGAGCAGAACCAGGCAGATCAAGGAAGTACACTGCTGAGGGGAGCAGTGGGCAGGTCAGGAGAGGTCTGCTGCGCCATGTGGTCACCTCCGGGGCAGGCGGGAATCGAACTCATGCTGAAGTGACTTTAGCTTCTTAGTGCAGTGCTTTAACCCGCTGCGCCACCAGGGAGGACCCTAGTGCAGTTTTTAATTGACAATAATCATAGCAATACAATTTTCCTTCTCCAAACAAGACTCCTCTGGCAGTTAACATTTTGCCATCTTTGTTTTCCCAGAGGAGCTAATTTAGTGTCCATAGATTCCATTAGAGGGTTCAAAGAATAAACTTTTAACCTGGGAGGACAACAACAAAAGAAGTGGAGAGAGTGGTAGAGCAGGCAAAATAGAATAGAATATATTCTTAGAAGAAGAGGGGAGATCCCACAAATAATTATTAAAGAGCAACTTAACTTATTTCGAAAAACATCAATTACCTGACACGGAAACACTGGGCCACCTTTGTTCAGTAAAGAATGAAAGGGGCTTAAAATCTCCCTTTCAGTTTTATTTTGTAATCTGTATTATTAATAGACCACACCATGCACAGAGATTTAGGCATTCATAAATGATCTTGAAGACTCCTTTGATTCATATATTATATCCAGTAATTAAGAACTACTAATTTATTGGCATTGAGCAATATGCCTTTTTTAAATTTAGGAATATTCAACTTTTTGACCAAAATATTAGCAAAGAGAATATATTGGGTGACTGATGATTATTGGTTAGAAGATCCTTAATGGCTGATTTTATTCATGTTAGAGTAGCTGATGTCTTTTAGATTTAGAATATTCCCTTTGTATACAAACAGAAAATTGGGAAAATGTCAAAGACAAAAATCTCTTTTTTTCTCATGTTTCCTGTAAACAGTGTTTTGAGTGAAAACTGCTAGAATATTTGACTATATGCTTACTACTATAAATATTTCCTAACTTATTCTGCTTAACTTAAAAGATTAATGCTAAATTTACAGTAGTTCTCATTGAAGTGGATCTTGGAGGTTGACAAAGTTATTGTAGAAATTCCTTCCTATGCCTCTATTTAAATTTACTTCTTTAAAGTAGAGGCTTAAATATTTAAACTACCATCAGTTAGTTAAATAGGGTTTTACACACTTTAAAACTAGTATTGTAGTGAAAAAGTTGAGGGATCTTATGATGCTAAAGCAGTATTTACTGATTTAATTTTTTCACGGAGGTAAGATTGATTAATACTACTATATATATATATTTTTTTTTTTTAAGATTTACTTGTTTATTCATAAGGAACTGGGGTACAGGCCAGAGATGTGGAGGGTGAGAGGATTCACCACAGACAGAGTGGGTTGCAGAACAGGCAGATCGACGAAGTACACTGCTGAGGGGAGCAGCGGGCGGGTCAGGAGAGGTCTGCCACGCCATGTGGTCACCTCCGGGGCAGGCGGGAATCGAACTCATGCGGAAGTGGCTTTTTAGCTTCTCAGTGCTGTGCTTTAACCCACTGCGCCACCAGGGAGGGCCTATAATTTAAGGAAATAAATTCATACTTTTTCACCCACCGCAGAAGACTCATATTCTTCCACTGTAGTCTAGTAGGGCCCCTCCCCACTTTGATCCTCCTCACCTTCACCCCCCAATCTGGCAGCCTCAATTCTGCCAGCAGATGTCTAGGGTTTGCTTTGGCTTAATTATATTTGATCCTTTGCTTTGTTTCTTTATATCTCACCTATCAGTGAAAACATCTAGTATTTGACCTTTCCTTCTAATTAATTTCATTTAATACTACAGTTCTATCCATATAGTTGCAAATGGTAAGATTTTTTTTTAAATATATATATATATATAGATAGATAGTATAGGTTGTTATATACATATGCCACATCTTCTTTATCAACCCATCTGACCTTGGCATTTAGGTTATTCCCATAATTTGGCTATTGGAAATAGTGCTGCAATTAACATAGGAATGCATATATCCCTTTGAACTAGTTTTTTTTTTAATATTTATTTATATATTTAGTAGAACTGGAGTATAGGCCAGAAGTACAGGGAGTAAGAAGATTCGCTAGAAACAGAGTTGGAGCAGAGCAAGCTGACCTATTGAGATGCACTGCAAAGGGAACAGTGGGTGATATAGGAGAGGTCTGTTGCACCATATATGAAAGGTCATCTCCCTGGCCAAGGATCAAACTCGGGCCACAGCTGTGGTAGCGCTGAGATTTAACCACTATTCCACCAGGGAGACATTGAGCTCCCTGTGTTTTGCATTTTTGGGAAGAGTGAAATTGCTGGACCATATAGTAGCTATATTTTTAAAAACCTCCGTACTGTGTTCCACAGGGGCTGAAGAAGACTCTATTTCAAACAACATTGCATCACACTCCTTTTTCTCCACATCCACCACCAATACTTGTTTCTAAACTTTGTATTATAGATTATCCTCACAGTTGTGAGGGGGCATCACATTGTGGTTTTGATTTACATTCACTTGATGAGTGATACTGAGCACTTTTTAATGTGTGTTGGTCCTCTGTATGTCTTCTTGGGAGAAGTGCTTTTTTAGTTCTTCTACCCTTAGTTTTCAGTGGGTTATTTGTCTTCCTTTTGTTGACTTGCACACGTTCTTTGCAGATATATATCTTATATCTTAGATATAAGCTTGTTTTATGTAGGATGTGTAAATATTTTCTTCCATTTAGTAGAGTGTTGTTTTGTTTTTTATGATAGTTTCTTTTGCTGTGCAGAATATTTTTAATTTGAGGAGAACAGATGTATCTACTGAAATACACTGCTGAGAGGAGCAGTAGGTGAGATAGGAGAGGCATGCTATACTATGTGGCTTAGCTCCCTACCTGGAGATCGAACTCATGCCACAGTGGTTGGTGATAGCTTGATAGGACTGAGATTTTTGACCCCTATGCCAACAGGGAGGCCCCCGTGACCCATTTATCCTATTTATTTATTTATTTATTTATTTATCTTTGCTTTTGTTTTCCTTATTGTTGGAGTTGAATCCCTAATGATATAAATGAAATCATAGGGTGTTTTACCTATGTTTTCTGCTACATAGTTTATGGTTTAGATCTTAATTTCAAATATTTAATTAATTTGGGTTAATTTTTATGTATATCATGAGATAGTGTCTAATTTCACCTTTTTGCTTGTGGTTATCCAAGTTTTCATCACCATTTGTTAAAGAGGTTTTCCTTTCTCCATTGTATACTCTTGGCTCCTTTGTTGTAAATTAACTGTTCATGCAAGTGTAGGCTTATTTCTGGCTCAGTTCTATCCTATACATTTGGGGTGCTTATTTTTATTATAATATCATGCTGTTTTAATTACTATAGTTTTGTAGTATAGCTTGAAATTTGGGTGTGTGATAACTCCATTCTTTTCTTTTGCTCAAGATTGCTATCATTCATTATTTGGGGTCTCTGATACTTCCACGTGATTTTAATAATGTTTGTTCTATTTTTTTGAATAATTCCATTATAATTTTGACAGGGGTTGCACTGAGTCTACATTACTTTACACAATTCTTTTAAGAGGGAAAAATTAAGTCAGTCCTTGAGTTGGTTTATTGATACCATGCCAAAATAACTAGTTTCACAGATTTATTTTCCCCACTGAACAAACTGACTTCTGGCATCACATAGAGACAGCCGTAGAAGAAGCCCAAACACTTCAAGTTGGAATGGGGTGATATCTGATGTAGAGCACTCAAACCACAGAGTCTGCATTCAGAAGTGGAAGAAGAAGGACCCTTCACACATGAAAGAATGAGTTAAGGATTCTGGCTGCTAAGTTAGAAAAGTCATCTGGAGAAAGCTGGTTATTTTCCTTCCAGAAACACGTACACACAAATTACATAAATATGTAATACAATTTGTATTTGCTTTAAAACACTAGAGAAAAATATCCATAAGTTACCACTTTTAATTCTCAAGGGTAAAAGGTAGGAGTGAGGAGGGGATTTTATTTTATGATCAAAGGAGAAATTCCAAATGCTTTCTGATTTTTTTTTTCCACATAGAAGACAGAAACATTAAATTAATGTATAGCAAGTACTCTCCTGAAAAAAGTAATATGGTTCAAAACTTCTATAGATCCTAAGAAAAATACAAATGGAAAGTTGGAGGGAACAGAAAGAGTGACTGCTAATGAAGACTTGTTCTAATTCCAAAAGAGAACTCTAGTGACCCTTTTACATTTTTGGGTAACAGTTGAAAGGTTAAGGGTAAAGGTTTGGGAGCCACTAATCACTACAGATTACAGAAATCACTGTCTTTGTTATGCAATTAAACTATTTGTATTACCTTAATTTTAAAAGTTTGGAACACTTACGAAGACAATGAGACTTCCTTCGAGATTAGTAATTGAGAAAATGAGTTTGATAGAAATTGTCAATTAAACTGAAATTTTGAAATAAAAATGACCCTTTTTACTTTAAGAATAGTTGAATTATTTTCATGTTTATTTACAAAGGATTTAACTTACACTAAGCAGAAAATAAGACAGTGCTACTTAATGTCCATAATTTTGCGAAGTTTTAAAAGAGCATTGCAATTACCTTGATAAATTTTGGAGAAATCATCAATATTTTATTATGGCTTTTCCTGAAGTCATGAAAGACCTTTTAGGCAATCAAAGTGTACCTTGGGTATTGAATTCTTGATGGTATGAAGAGTTTTCTTGCCTATGTTCTATGACTCATCATTTTGATTTCTAGTTCACTATTCTTGAGAAATATATTTGGTTTTGTTTGCTAATATTTTCTCTGTATTTATTTTTCAGATGCAAATACTGTGACAGATCATTTAGCATATCTTCCAACTTGCAAAGGCACGTTCGCAACATCCACAATAAGGAGAAGCCTTTTAAGTGTCACTTATGTGACAGGTGTTTTGGTCAGCAAACCAACTTAGATAGACACCTAAAGAAACATGAGAATGGGAACATGTCTGGTAGGTAATCAGTTGTGCTCTCATGAGAAAAAGACTTGATATTTTTAACCTTTCTTCTACCATTTTACCTTGACACCAAGAACAGATCTTGTAGCTCACTTCCACACAACTTTAAATGATGTAGTCCTTGTACAAATACAAATACAGCTCAGAGTCTTATTTGAATTATCTTTTTTTATTTTCCTGGATTCATCCCAATGGGCAATTTCAAGCAGAGAACTAGTATTCATGGGAGATGTAGGAATCAAGATTTCCTAAATGGCAAGAAACAGTCTTTTTTTTTTTTTTTAAAGATATATTTATTCGTACAGAACTGGGGTACAGGCCAGAGATGCGGAGGGTGAGAGGATTCACCAGGGACAGAGTGGGGAGCAGAACAGGCAGATCGACGAAGTACACTGCTGAGGGGAGCAGTGGGCAGGTCAGGAGAGGTTTGCCGCGCCATGTGGTCACCTCTGGGGCAGGCGGGGATCGAACTCATGAGGAAGTAGCTTAAGCTTCTTTGTGCTGTGCTTTAACCCGCTGCGCCACCAGGGAGGGCCAAGAAACAGTCTTTCTAACTAATGTTACATACATGGCCCCCAACCATAGGAGGATTTCCAGAATGGCACCCAAAATACCATGCTCTGCATATAACCTAGATATTATGGCTGCTTTTATAGGGCTGCTGTTCAGAAAATCTCTCGAGGATAACTTTCTTAGAAATTGGCAGCAAAGAGTGTCAATATGGTCAGACTAACCCATATTGCAAATGATGGGAGTATGTGGTTTAATCCCATCATATAACAAATGATGGGAGTATGTGGTTTTAATCACAAATTCTGATGTAAATTAATTTAAAAGTAGCAAAATAGCTAGCTTTCATGAATTCAGACCTACCTGCACATAGATAGCAAAAGTATGGTAGGTTTTCTTGCTTAGAGCTTATAAGAGTTAGAAAATGAGTCATTAAAATTGCCTCTAGCATTAGTTCATGGAGCTCACTTGTGCAAGCACTATTTGTTTTTAGAGACTCAAAGAAATGACTTGGATATGGAGGCAGGAGATAAGTACGGCATTCAGGAAAAGACATTTTAAGAACATAAAATAGTTACATTTATATAAAGTAGTAAATTTAAGGAAAGTATTCTATTTTTAATCTTCTTTCACTATTCAGGCATATAGCAGCTCTTACTCTTAGATGGCTACTACTTCAAAATGTATACTATTCATTCCCCTCAAAATGAAAATAAAATAAAATCTGGAATTTTAAAATACCAGAGTTTAGAGACAGAAGTCTAATGCCATACAAAAGTGGCAGACACTTTCTGTCTGCATCTTTAAGCATATCCCCTCATTTTTCTACTCAAATATTTTTTTAAGATTTATTTATTTATGCATATCGAACTGGGATATAGGCCAGAGGTGTGGTGACTGAGAGAATTCACCAGAGACAGAGTGGAGAGCAGAACAGGCGGATTGACAAAATACACTGCTGAGGGGAGCAGCAGGTGGGTCAGAAGTGGTCTGCC